AATCTAAGATACCAGGTACTGCAACTTACCTGTAGGTAAGTACTAACTACTAAGTTAGTTACAGTAGGAGGTAAATGTGGAGGATACCCAAAAGGGGTCTAGCGCGGAGAGCTCCCCGGGCTGCCACCCTCCGTGAAAGCTGTTGTTGGCTGAATCTTTACCACATTCCTGCCTTGCAATCGTCATACAGCTGCGTTTCCTTCGTTTTTGCATCTCTGACACCATTCCAGCACTGTCTACTCCCTTACAGCGTACTATTCCCGGCATAATCGTTGTTGATAAAGGCTTCGTTGTCACCTGCGGGCGCATGCGCCGGAGCTGCTCATCTGTGACGATCCAGCAGCGGAGATCGCCTCCCCCCCCCCTCTCTCTCTACGAGACCGGTCTAGAAGGCTTGATGAGTGCCAGAGACCTTGAGCCGGGCCGTCGTCCAAGACCGTTTGGATGCACCCTTTAAATCCTTTCCTCCGTGCCTTCTTCCGAAGCACTGTTCCGGGCCAGTGTATACCCATCGAGAATCATGTATGTTTCCGTTCCGGACAGCTTGGCCCGCATCTCACATGTCCAGCCCGTCGTTCTCACAATTTGTCGTATAGGTCCTCCTCGTGCCCGTGACAGAATCTCTCGTCGGGTCGCGCGACCGCGAGTCCTCCCTCTACTACTCGGATCTGGTTGTTTCGGAAGAATTCCTTGGGAGCCATACCTTGCGTATACCAGTCGCTACCGGGACTGGTGGGGGGAAGGATGACTCGAATATACGGGACAGCAGAAGCAAGGCCAAGCAAGTGACAACGGTAAATGGTCGCACCGTGATTATCAAGGAGAATTCTGTCTACAGCAATAAAGGTAGAAGGAGACCCCTTCCAGATCTGAGATCCTGTTTGCGCTAAACAATTGTCCGTCTCTCAAGGTTTCAAGTCCCTAAGCCAAGCTCAGTTGGTGTCTGATGCGTTGTATTACCCCAACAGCAACGACTCCCAGCCATGGCTTATTTATTACATCTCCCGCCCATTGATCGGCTCGTTTGACCCCGGAAGGATCATTACTGCTGTGGTGCCAGGGGCACAACCAAAGATCAATGCCGTGGGCAATGGAATCAAATCCGGCGAGCCAGTCTCCTCACCACAGAAGAAGGAGATCAAAACATTCGGAGAATTGCTGGCAAACTTTCCGATGATCGCTAGACAGATGCAACCTGGCTTGGAACGGCTGTTCAAGGAATTTGGGAAAGAACTCGGAAAACCTCTACCTCCACCACCATCGCGATCCCCTGTGATGTTTGAAGACTACGAACGCAAGCAGAACCGTGAATCATCTTTCAATGAGGCTGCTTCTATTCGCTCCACACGCAGCAGGGAAGGACTTCCGTTCAATTCCGAGGAGTACTTCGAGGATGACGAAGACTTAATGCGTCGCAGCCTCGAGACAGCGGTTACTGCTGCCATTGATTTGTTTCGGTTGGTGGACAAACAACAGCTGTCTTTCCTCGGCGCCACCACCGATCTTACTGGCCCATTAGTCGAACGGCTCATTGAACGTTATGTGGCGGAGCAGGTGCATGAAAACTTACTCTTCCCTCGACTCTGCAAGTTTCGACTGCCGGAGGATGCCGAACTAGACTCCCGAATCCGGTACATGGAATATGTTGACATCTCTCAAGTGGGTATTGCGGTGGAAGGGGGACGGGAGGGCAAGCGGGAGTTATTGCAAAGGCTCGGCAGAGCAGTTGAAGAATTCCGCAAAATGCTCGATGCCAAGTGCCCTCACGACATGTTGAATACCTTGCTTGAGACGGTTAAGATCCTGTCCTACCCTGGCAGCTATGACAGAACAGAGTCGCACTCGTCAGAAAAGCAATTTGCGCCTGTGACCATCAACGCAGATATTCTCGTCTCGTTGTTGCTTGTCGTTGTAATAAGATCTCAAATCAAGAATCTACAGGCCCGCTTGATGTACATGCAACACTTCATCTATATTGATGATGTTGACAGTGGTGAAATGGGCTATGCACTGAGCACGCTTGAGGCTGTTCTTACTTATTTGGTAACGGATTCCGCCGGCCTTCGAAGAGCGAGTGTCAGGAACAAACGCTTATGGAATGCCACCAAGCACGGGCGCGTTGTTGACATGAAGGCAATCCTGGAACCGAACGGGGATCAAGAATCTATTGATGACATCCCTTGTGAACCTGAAGAAAGGGTGGTGGCTTTCAAAACAGGAGACGACGAGGACTCGAGCCCTATTTCCCATTTGCCTTTACCAATACGTGATGGCGTGTCTAATTCATTTGGCGATGATGGAACGATAGCCCCTGGTGCTGACTCTGGAGCCCCCCCGCTTTCCCACGTCTTTCCCTTCCAGACATGGGCGAACATTTCGCCTCCAATCGAAGTGCGACGTCCCATCAAGAAAGTCTCAATGGACGTGCGTAGCCTGTCCGAGTCATCTGCCATATCGCTCATATCCCGGACAACTACATTGGAGTCCATCACCAGCGCAATCGAAGGCGATAGCTCTATTGAGACTCTGACCAGGACGCAGGATCCTTCCGGCGATTCAATTCCCATGATGGCGGTCGAAAGTCGCCAACCGGAATCTCTGAAATACCTACTTAGCCTGCAAGAGTATTACCCTCTGGAAGATATCCTTGAGGATTCGAACACAGAAGGCACAACACTGCTGAGTGCTGCAGTCCAGCTTGCTCACACTGACATTGTGGACATTCTGGTGGATTACCTTTTCAGTGCGACTGATAAGCACACTATCGCATCGTACATGCAGAAGTCCGATATGCATGGACGTACGGTTGCTCATTACTTGTTCAGCACCCCGTCAGTGATGCATAGGCTTGAGGGGCTCCTCCCATGGTGCCAACGGGACAAGCATGGACAAACACCACTCTTCGCCTTGTGCCGTTCTTACGACCATCCTGATTATAAATCAATGGTGATCGAAGCCCTGAACGCAGCCCAGAAAGCTCAAGGAGACGGCAGACCCCTGCGTCTTGACGAACATATCGACTCGAAAGGCAACACGTTGCTTCATATCGTTAGTGATCCCGAGATTACAGTACGGATCTTACAAGGGTGTGATTGTGACCCCAATGCGACAAATGACAAGAGATTCACGCCACTCATGATGGCGAGTAAGTACGGACGCATCGACCAAGTCCGAATACTGTTTGCAGACGCTAGAGTAGATGTTCACCTGAAAGAAAGTCGCGGGTTAACCGCCGTCGAGTTGGCAAAGGACGATGAGGTTCGCAATCGCATTGATGATCTCATACTTTTGTCTACGCCTCCTTCCGTGTATGATGAGCAGTCGGGCCGAGTGACGACCGTTGTCCGCTCCTACTTTGTTGAAGATGCAACTGTTAGATTCATTCTAAAATCCGGTGCGCCTAATCCGACTGCAAACTCCCAGGAATCTCGACCTGCGTCAGGCACAACGTACACCGTTACGACATGTCGTCGCACCTTCTCGGATTTTGAGAACCTCGCCCGATGCCTTTCGACCGAGCATCCCGCTTCATATATGCCATCATTGTCAGACTTCCGCAGCCCGTTTCAGATCCATTCGAAGCCGTCTCGTTCCGTGCTTCATGATATGCAAGAAAAACTGGACAAGTTTCTGAAAGCCCTACTATCCCATCCGACCTTCGCGACCCACGAAATGCTCTGGGAATTCTTTCTTGTTCCGGAGCTGCAGCCGGACATGATGGCCGACAGATCGCACCGGAAGGCCCAAGTCCTTGCGGAGTCAATCATGGACGATTATGCACCAGTCACCCCGGAAAGTATGAGAGAAACCGAACAGTTTGTCTCGCATGCTCAAGACATGGTTCGTGCCATTCACGTGAACACTCGCAGTCTGATTCGTCGTGGCCACGCTCTGCAAAATTCTGCGTCTGATATGGCAGACGCTTTAGCTCTCTGCTCCACCTCCATCTCTACTCTTAAGGAACCGACGCAGGCACTCCCTCAGTCTCATGTCGAGGCATTTATCCGCTACGCTTTATGTCTCTCAACCTCATCCTCTGACTCATCCCCGCTACTCCAATTTGTCGCCGCTTTCACCTCCATTGACAACAACACCACAGCTGTTCTCGCCTCCCTCTCCCGCCCAATTGGGCTCATTTCCAATCTAGCTTCCACGAACAGAAACCTCTCTCGATCTCGCTCGTCCCTGCTCTCGTCTTCTCTCCCACGGAAATTCAACCTCAACTTTCCCGGACTAGAAGAGTCGCGACAAAAGTCCGTCCGTGAGTTGGAGAGCAAGATCCAGGAATCCGAAGCGCAAGTGGCGCGTCTCTCTCGCGAGATCACGTGGAACAAGGATGTAGTGGTCGGGGAACTCGCGGGCTGGACTTCTTGGCGAGAGAAGATTGGGCGGGACGCGATTCGTTCATTTGTCAAGGCCACTTTGGTCCGTGAGAAGGAACGTGGGAAGAGGCTTGAGCGGTGTTTGAGGAGTGTGCATGAGATGCAATAATGCGATGCGGCGTCGTTGCCTGCCTGCCTGTCATATTATGCCTTGTGGGGAAGTGGTGATGAGTAGTGGGGCCATGCAAACTACTATCACCAAGTGACTATAGATTATCCTTAACAATTCCATGTAGAAGCTACGGTACAGTCCGGTAATAAGTGAATCGATTCTTGATCTGCGAAGTCCTCTTACATAGTACTTTCTGCGCCAATACCAAACTAGACACAACCGTCTCCGTGCATAAGCACGTGAAACACCAGGTAATTACATAGCTGTATGCAGATGCTTACTCGTAGTAGTTATACCGTGTCTACCCCCGGATTGTAGAGGTGACGCCACATCCATCCGTCATCTCAACTATGATGTCATTCCAGATAAGTTAAGTCGACTCACAGGCAGGCAGGCTCTATACTCCCAAAACTAGATATATTTAAACTCTCACTTTTACATCGCAGCCTAACTCCTCTCTTCTCCCATTTTCTCTTCAAACCACTTAGAAGTCTAAACTAGGAATATTCAACCCTTCAATACATTACTACATAACCCCTCTTCTTCCACTTCAATAGACAAATCTCTCACAGCCACCTAACGGAAACAAAACAAAACAAAACACCACCATGCCCCTCGTCATCCCCGGCATCAACAACACCAGCGGCGGCTCGAGCCAGGATGACTGGTCGCACAAACTAATGGGCAAGACCGTCACCGAGGGATCGAGCGACGTGAACGTGAGCTTCCCCTCCCCCCTCCTCCACCCTGTATTGCCCTGGCCCTGGCCCTGGACAGTCTCTTGGCGATATGATCCAGTTGAAACCGGACCATACCCTAAGCAACAACATCCAGACTTAAGGGGGAAATGGAACGAACGCTAACCGTCCCCTAATCTGGTGTAGTCATTCGCCAAGAAAGACCTGCCGGAGACTCATCGGATCGTTAAGCCGGGTGATGCGACGACCATGGATCATAACCCTGATCGGTAGGTTGATTTTTTTTCATGTGCTTTTTGGGGGGGGGGGGGGGGGGGGGTCGTGGTTGGGAAGATGTGGCTGACATCGACGGGGGATTACAGGTTGAATATCCACGTGGATGAGAGCGGGACGGTCCATAATGTTAACTATGGTTGAAGTGCTGGGGTGGATCTCTGGATGGGTGTGGATGATGGTTATGATTTGTGTTTGCTCGTTGCGGCGGGCTCAATGGTATGATGGTATGATGGGATGGGATTTATGTACTGCATGGGTTTTTTAATGCTATATATGAATGAAGGATGATATATTGTCATTGATTTGGGGGTGGCCGTTTCGTTTCTATCTAATTTCGTAGTTGGATTTGGGGTTTGGGAGGGGAAGGATACGAAGGTTTGTTTGTTTTGGGGTGGGCTTGTTTTACTCGGCCTTCCAGCGCAGGAGAGTGAAGGAGTGCTTGGGGAAGACGTAGGAGCCCGTGGCTTCCCAGGTGCTCTCGGCGACGCCGACCTCCTGCTTGCCGTTCATGTTGCTGACGGCGAGGTTGTCGCCGGTAACGGTGAAGACGGCAACCTGGCCGGTGGGGCCGTCGAGCCGGGTCTCGAGGTCCCGGTCCTCGCTGATGTTGACGACGGCGACGTTGACGTAGCCGTCCTCGCCGAGGGTGGCGCTCACGTCCAGCCAGGGGGTGTCCTTGACACTGCGCACCCACTTGGGCGAGGTCTCGCCCTCGTAGGTCGCGCTGGCCAGGTGCGTGCTGATGGTCCAGCCGCGCATGTACTTGGAGAAGAGGTACAGCGGCCACCAGGTGGTCTGCTTGGTGATGCCGTCCGGCGAGGTCATCAGCGGCGAGATGACGTTGACGCTCTGCGCGATGCACGCCATGCCAACGTCCTTGCTCTTGCGCACGAACACGTTCAGCCACACGGCCACCGCCAGCGCGTCCGACAGCGTGTACGACTCCTCGGCGCCCTTGCTGCCCTCGGCGCGGATCGGGTCCCAGACGTTCCACTCGTCGAAGCAGATGGTGGGCCGGGGCTGGGACGGCGGCACGTTGTTCTCGATCATGGCGAGGTCGATCAGCGAGGAGGTGATCTCGATGGCCCGCTCGCCCGCCAGCGGCGCGGTGACATTGGGGAGGTGGGAGTCCGAGGTCGTGTACAGGTGGATACTGTGCATATCGATCAAGGGCACGGCGCTGGTGGAGAGCTCGGAGTGAGCGGGGAGAAGGCAGTGCTTCAAGGTGTAGTGATCCCACGAGGCAAACCCGGTTTGACCACAGAGAATTAGGACAAGGCTAGGGTCGAGGAGCTTAAGAGCTTCAAGTTCGATCATTGTCAGTATCTTCGAATCATCTTGTAGTCATGTTTGAGATGCAAGGAGCTAGCTACCTTTGGCCCATTGGTATGCTTTGTGGGCATATGCTTCCTGAGTCATTTGCTCAACCTGCCATGGTCCCCAGACTTCGTTCCCGAGGGCCCAGTATTTCACCTGGATTGATTAGAATGACATATAAAGAATCATAGGCATGGAATATTTGACTTACATTGTATGGTTCCTCACGACCATTCTTCCGGCGAAGGTTGGCATAGTAAGTGTCCCGGGTGCCGTTGCAGTATTCGACCCAAGCAAGTGCTGCGTGAATGTGTTAGATTTGAGGCCCTAACCAGAAGGCTAAAAGTTATGGGGGAGATATACCTTCATCAAGAGTACCTATAATACGATTAGTAAGGCTTTTCGACAATGAGAAAAGTCGGTCACTTACCAGTTCCAAAGTTCAGACAGAGGTAGGGCTCGGTTCCGAGTACTTCACACCACTTCATGAACTCGTCCGTTCCGAATTGGTTGGTCTCTGTTCCCAGCCAGGCCAGTTCGGGTCTAAGCAGGGCAGGCTCGCAGTCAGTACAAAAGGGACATGCCAGTCGAAGCAATCCAAAACAGAGACAAAAGCCAAAGCCAAATGAATGAAACGTGATTGAAAGACAGTAGGCACGATAGGAAGGCAAAAAAAGTGAAGCATCCAAGGCAGCGACAACATACCTGGACGGCCGGTTCTCTCTGGGGCCAACACCATCGATCCAGTGGTAGGTTGCCATAAAGTTGCCACCGGGGTAGCGGACGACAGGGATGTTTAGGTCCTTCAGGGCCTCGATCACATCTGTTCTGAAACCATTCTCGTCCGACAGCTTGTTTCCCGGGTCGTAGATGCCCCCGTAGATGCATCGACCCATATGCCTTTTCGGAGGTGTTAGCCGCACTATTTCACTGGGGCTGTAACCAATCCGGGAGCTTACTCTGTGAAGCCCGCATAGATGTTGGGGTTGATCTTGGAAATGCGCCTTGTTGGATGGATGGAAATACTAGGCGCATCCTGGTCGTTAAGCTTCGTGAAGGTGGTCATGGCGGCAAAGGGAAAATAGCAGGAAAGAGAAGGTTGAGAATCGCGAGATCCGATTGGTATGAAAACAAGAGAAAATGTACCCAAGGGACTATAAGCAGGACTCTTACTTTGCCCGAAACACACTCAATCAATGTATTGTTGTTGACCATGGCAGAGAGAGCCCGGCAACTAATATTAATGTGCTGAAGCAATGGGGAGCGGGCAGGATGAATCGGGCAAATCCCCTGCGGGGTTGATCCGGAGTTGTACCGAACTCAGAAGAGGGCAGGCCAGCAAGGATGCATGATGGGGATGCAAGCGAGAGGTTTCGACGCCGTTGGCTTGGAGGATGAAGCCGAGGCAACGCCACGGCTAATTTCCGTCAATCAGCATGCGTCTCTGGAGTGGAAGTTGATGTACTGCCATCCCGCTTTCTACAAGCGTTGCTTGGCTACACCAGACCACACATGGCGATAGGTCATGCATGGCATGTTGAGTCGATTGACTCCGCAGGTGTTATGAGTCTTGCATCTCGAGCAGGCTGGACTTGGGCCAGCAAGTAGAAAAAAAATACCCTGTCTCGGTAGAATCCCCAAAGCGTCGTGTCTGCCGACTGATGCATCATAATGAATCCTCCACCGGTCTTTGCGTGAACTGGGAAAAGTCACGATGTCATGAGCATGTTCCGATGGAGGAGGCGAGTTCGGAAAACCCTAATGCCCCAGATTCTGGGCCTATACGTGGGTTGCGTGGCTGTCATCCCCAGATGTTCATAAAAGCCCACAGGACCCTGAACCTGGGGGTGGAATCTCCGCATTTTTTGTCTGTGATCTTCCTTAGCGAATGATCAAATCCACTGGATCCACTGTGTTCATTGCGGATTCCCACCCTTCAACATGCGTCTCTCTCCGGCATGGTACCAGGTAAGTCCTGAGGAAGATCCAACGCATGGCTAAGCGCCGGGTTTTTAACGTCCTTGCTCTCACCAGTTCCTGGTCGGTGTCTTCGCCTCTCTCGGCTCGTTCCTTTATGGATGTATGTATAGATGATATTCATGTACTATTCATTCGCTTGATCGGAACTGATATGCATGGTTGCAGACGATCTGGGTGTGATTGCCGAGGTCATCGCCAGTGGATCTTTCATCGCCAAGTTCGAAGCCGATAGCACTCAACAGTGAGTTCGACCACGGCCAGAATTAGGCGTATGCCACTGACAGCCTTCCAGAGGTCTCGTTGTTTCCATGTTCACTGCAGGTGCTTTCTGCGGTGCAGCATTTGCAGGTCCTACTGGTGATAAGCTGGGTCGACGATGGACCATCACGATCGGTTGTATCATTTTCTGCCTTGGCGGAGGTCTTCAGACAGGAGCTCAGACTATCGCGTACTTGTACAGCGGAAGATTCTTTGCTGGTCTCGGGTATGTTTACACCGCAAGTATCCAAGTAAAGTCTGGAGCGATTGTAGAGCATTTACTGATTTTGTCCTGGTCTGCAGAGTCGGTTTCCTTACCATGATTATCCCCTTGTACCAAGCTGAGATCTGTCATCCCAACATCCGTGGGCGAGTCACAGCCCTTCAGCAATTCATGCTCGGTGTTGGCTCCCTCTGTGCTGCTTGGATTTCGTATGGCACATACATCGGCTTCTCTGACACCAACGATGCTCAATGGCAATTGCCCCTGGGTCTGCAAATCGCACCGGCGGTGTGTCTGGGCCTTCTCATCATGTTCTTCCCTGAGGTAAGAACCTTGCACCTCTGGTCGACTGTTGTTAATCAGGCACAACTCACTAACAAAACTCCAGTCTCCTCGTTGGCTCATTGACCATGGGAAAAATGAGCTGGGTCTGAAAACCCTGGCCCAACTCCACGCTCATGGTAACGAAGATGACGCGTGGGTGCGTGCGGAATACCAGCAGATTCAGGAAAGCATCAAGTTCGAACATGAGAACGAAGCCAAGTCCTACGCGGAACTCTTCACGTCCCGCTCTTCCTTCCGTCGTCTTTTCCTCTGCTGTGCTATCCAGGCGTCTGTCCAGATGACCGGTGTATCTGCGATCCAGTGAGTCCATCCAGCACTGCGCAACCGGGGAAGCAGAGTGTAGAACTAACCAGTCGCAATCCGGCAGGTACTACTCCGTGACTATCTATGAGCAGATCGGCATTTCGGGCGACGAGACCCTGCGCTATCAGGCCATCAACTCGATCATCGCCCTGATCGCCCAGTTCCTTTGCATCCTGTACATCGATCGGTTCGGTCGTCGCTGGACTCTGATCGGTGGCAACCTGGGCAACTGCGTCACCTTCATCGTCGCGTGTGCGCTGCTGGCCAAATTCCCGCCGGAGGTCAACAACACGGGCGCGCACTGGGGCTTCATCATCATGACCTGGCTGTATAATTTCTCTTTCTCCTGTACCTGCGGTCCCCTGTCGTGGATCATCCCGGCCGAGGTGTTCGACACCCGGACCCGTTCGAAGGGTGTGTCGCTGGCTTGCATGGTCTCCTACGCCTTCAACACCATGATCGGCCAGGTCACCCCGATCGCCATGGAGAGCGTGCGCTACAGGTACTACTACCTCTTCATCATCTGCAACTTCACGAACGCGATCTTCTTCTGGCTGCTTCTTCCCGAGACGAAGAAGCTCCCCCTTGAGGAGATGAACTACCTCTTCTCCAACTCGCCCTGGATCGTGGTGGGCACTCGCAAGGAGGACTATGTCTCCCACGACTTGGAGCGCCGTGTTGAAGAGCAGGAGGAGAAGAGAGGTGCCTTTGCCACGCACGCTGAGACTGAAGCGTAAACCTTGCTTTCCTTGGTGCAGTTGGTCGGGGTGTTGTGTCTTTGCTTCCGGCAAGTCTTGCACCCCAGCGTAGAGACATGAGAGGACAATAAGAGTCCTATAGTAAGACAGGGAGCCTTTGACCTCCTGAGTAATAGTCAGCGTGTTGCAGTAGGTAGTGACTTCAATAATACCCCGTGATATTCTCGCCAAGATCGTGGATTGGAAGGCGTACTGATTAAGATGATGGATTCTTGCAGTGTGTAAAGAGTCATGTTTTTCTCTTGGGAAGTCACATGGTCGTCTCCCAAGATCTCATGCTTTACCGAAAATACCTGACTTTATGACTCCTAGTGAGGGGGAATTCAACATGGATGCGCTATATAAGATTGATAGAATTTGTAGATCGAGCATCGAGCTAATTATGAATGAGCTCGTCATCCGAGCTCCAGTACATTGGCTGTACTGCAATGCCGAGGACTCATTGACATGCGCAAGGCTCCCAGCATATCGATATACGAATGCGACATGTATCCTACAGAATGATGAGCTATGCTTCCGTATTTCACGCCTGCTATTGCGTAAGGACGGCCTCACTAGTCAATGATGGATTTAGCCCGCTTCATCTGGGCAAAAGCCTTACAACCTTCACAGCTTTGCTAACAAGACTACCAGGCGATCGTGCAAAGTATGTCTTTTTCCAGGATATTATATCGTGAGAGGGCATTTGTCCTTTGACTCTTGAAGCTATAATCTTCTGACGATGCTCTGTAGCAGAATTTCTTGATTTTCAATTAGACATCACCTGCTATGCGGGTAAATGCAAGCCATGGCAAGCATCACGAAACTATTAGGGGGGAGTGTCGAGTCGTACAGGCTATACAGATAGCCATGATATTCACCCAGAGAACATCGAGTTTATTCCGAGTCTGAACTGTAACCTGCCAGGCCGAGAGACAGTGACGATGAATTTGCAGCTGGCTTCTGGGCTGGCGAGTTCGTGCTCGGACTCTTTCCCACGGGTTCCCCGGGGCTGACAGCACTTTCCGCAGCACTCAGGGGCTTTTGCGTTTCGGTGAGTCTGTGAGTTGATTTAGATTTTGGCAGTGATTCATCCGCCCGAGGCTCTTTGGAGGTAGTTGGGGGTGCCTGCTCGCCTTTAGGGCTTCCTGCGGAGTCGCCACTCAAAGACTTGCGTTTTTTCCCGGGGACAAGAAGGTCCTTGCTCTTCTCGCGTCGTCGTTTCCGCGCAGGCAGTTTCCAACCCTCTCCCTCCGCTGCCGGAACCACGTCGGCAGCTGTATCTTCGAGAAGGGTCTTTTCTGCCTCTTCCCGCTGGCGACGGAACAACTCTAGACCTTCGGCAGTCTCCTTCTTCAGGGCGGCCTCTTTCGCTCGCGTCGACTCCAATATCGAGTCCAGGAATTCAACCTCATCTTCGTCCAGCGATCGGAATTGGTTCTTCAGCTTGATCTTCTCTTCGAAGGCTTCTTGCTTGGCCACTACACAGACGAAGATAGATCATCCTAACATGTCAATCCAGGGAGTTCGAAAGCACGACGTGGACCTCGCCGAGCGAGTGTCGTGATATTGATCTAACTCACTCTTGTTCTGCTGCAGTACTTCAAACAGACTCTTCCCTCCATCCTGTTTTCCCAACTCTGCTTTGCGCCTGCGTTCCTCCTCGAGCTCCTGCTGCACTCGGTGCCATTCATCATTGCGCTCGACGGGCTCTTGATCCGTCCCTGCGGATACAAATCCAGACGACATTCTGGAAGGGTTGTAAGATAATTAAAGTATCGACCCTCGCGGCAAGGGTGTTTCGACTTCTCCGCGGGGATGGAAAATGTTTTCGAGGTTTAAGGGAGGCAGTATGGCTTGACCATAGGCTATCTCCTTGTTGCTGGCCGTAATGACTGAGCGCCTTGCTACAGAGTAACTGTGAGTTTCAGACGATGTCCAGTCAATCGACAAATCACTTTGCTTGCGCCAACGAGTCACCGTTGGATTGTGATTTTCTCCGGCTTCAACCGCGTTCTGGAGAGGGAGCCACAGTGGACGGGCAGAATCAAGCGGTGAGGCCTGGAAATTTGATGTTGATTGGACCTTTCAAACGCGGAGCCCCACCAAAGCGGAGCAAACGAGTTTAGGCAAAATCGCGCAGGTGCATGGCTGCGCGGCGCCGAACCGATTCTCGGTGGTTGGACCGGAAATAATTAATAATGTTGATTTTACACGAGACCAAGGTCTGCATACGAGGAGGTATGCTTTCTACTTTGTGGATGGTGCCGATTTAAATCTACATACGCTCGGCTAGTTCTTTTGAGATTCCAGGTTTGACATTCTAGAACTCGGTTAAATGGTTATGTCCGGTTTACTGTGTACTGTACCACAGAACCTACTGGCAAGCTAATCTCCGGATAGTAGTACAAGTAAACAAGTGAACTTGTTTCAATTGAAGTATGTGGCACGGTAAACTGACTGCCTGATTTTGTAGTATGGATGCTTGGGACCCTCATGCTGAGCGGCTAATTGCATGCGATAACGAATTGAGAACAAGATGACCGACCCAATTGGTTTAGTTATCGGTTTCAGATTGCAATTAGAAATGACCGGCAGAGACAGAGCCCTGGGAGCCCGTCGATGAATAGACCCCACCAGTATTGAACGGACCCCGCGACCCCCGATTGACTATCGTCATCGTTCCGCGCATAGCGTGCTGGATGGACCTGCCCTGCCTCTTCATCATTATCGTCTATCGGCTCTCAGAGTGAGCGGGCACTCAGCCCCTCCCCTCCTCCCCAAGCCTATAAAGTCAACCTGCCTCCATCTGTGGGGACGACTTCTCCTTGTTTCTCTTTCTTCCTTCCTTCAATTCTTCCCTCCTCTAAACGTTTGAATCAACTGCATTGTTTCTTTCCCCGAGTACCATCCCAAAAAAAAGTAACAATGTCGAACCTCGAGCACACCAAGTAAGCTAGCTCCCCTCGGGGAAATTCCATTGACGTTAACTTACACTTTGGCCTCATAGGAAAACGTACACCCTCAACACGGGTGATAAGATCCCCGCTGTTGGCTTGGGCACATGGCAGAGCGGTCCTAACCAGGTCAGAGAGGCCGTCAAGAATGCCCTTCTGAAGGGTTACCGCCATATCGACACGTAAGCGGAGTATTGTGATTGATTTAAGAACCGTGTTTGACCCTCATACTAATGGTTTTCGGCGGTGATAGTGCCCTCGCCTACGGCAACGAGGCTGAGGTCGGTCAGGGTATCAAGGACTCTGGGGTCCCTCGCGAGGAGATCTGGATCACGACCAAGCTCAACAACACCTGGCACCACCGCGTCGCCGAGGGCATTGACTCTTCTCTCAAGAGCCTTGGCGTGGACTACGTCGACCTTTACCTTGTTCACTGGCCTTGCGCGACCGACCCCAACGACACCTCGAAGCATCTTCCCGACTGGGACTTCATCAAGACCTGGTACGAAGCTATCACCCTTGTAGACCCGGCATTAGCGAGTGGGTACTGACTAGTGCGGAATCTTAGGCAAGAGATGCAGAAGCTGCCCGCCACCGGCAAGGTCCGTAACATCGGCGTTTCCAACTTCGGCATCAAGAACCTGGAGAAGCTTCTGAACGACCCCAGCACCAAGATCGTCCCCGCTGTCAACCAAATTGAGTTGCACCCCAACAACCCCTCCCCCAAGTTGGTCGCCTACAACACCTCGAAGGGCATTCACTCCACCGGTTACTCTTGCCTCGGCTCAACGAACTCTCCTCTCTACAAAGATCAGACCCTGTTGGACCTTGCCGAGAAGAAGGGCAAGACCCCCCAGCAGGTCCTGCTGGTATGGGGCTTGAACAAGGGCTGGAGTGTCATTCCCAAGTCGGTCAGCAAGGAGCGCATCGACGCCAACTTCGAGCTCGACGGCTGGGACCTGACTGAGGAGGAGGTCAACCAGCTGGACAACTTGAAGGATCGCTTCAAGGTTTGCGGAGACAGCTGGCTCCCTGTCAAGGTGTTCTTCGGAGATGACGAATGACTGACCGACATGACGCGAGGCGAAAGAAGTTCTAAAATCTAAATTCAATGTATATAAGTTCGGTCAAATGCTTGAAGCCATAGAAGCATGATAGCTTGCCGGTAATAGAATAAATTGATCGTTTTTGAACATTTCCGCCAAGATTATCTTAATTGTCCCTCTAAGTGTTGTCTGAGCGCGCAGCATTGTTTGATGTGAAAGGCGATGTTTACATTGGATTGAGAGGACGTTTGCGGGGTAAAGGCGGGGCCGAAGCGATTCGGGTGCGCTTTCCTACACTGTGGTGGTGATAAATGCATTTCGTTGTCCGGCCCGGCTGTTTGAGGATAGGAGTAGAATTATCAAAGCCCGAACGATCAACATCACACAATTAGACCAAACAGTTGCAGGTTGGTGTTTGGTCGCCACATCATCATCGAACCACTCCCCTTCGGGGCTCGTGGTTCCGGATCACATGCAGCACCGCCACTCGGCATCATGGATCCGCCGTCCCCTCGCCGTGTCACATCATCCATCCCCCGGACCCGTCATCCTCTTATCTCCTTTCTTCCTTCAATCATTAGGAGATGGTTAATCCATCATCTACTCGCTCATAACTTTATCCATTGTTGCAGTCAGGATGCCGCCTTCTAACGGGCACCTGCTGCTCCCCAAGGTCTGGAGAGCAGCCAGGTGAGTCATTTGCCACATAGTTCTTGCTTCCAGCGTACCCTAATACTAATGCTCCCCTAATTAGGTCTGCCTACGAGAAGGCCTGTAAAACATTAAGGTCAAAGTTTCCCGACCAAATCCCTCAGGGTTCGCTCCGTCTTCAACCTGAATACATTAGGGTTGCTCACAGACAACCTATCAATCGAGCGGCTGCCATCCGTCAAGCCCGGAGTCGCCAATTCTCGACTCGTGCGGCGGGTTCCTTCGTCTCATATCTCCGTAGTGGTCTTCAAGCAGACCGTACTGCGACAGCGAAGGTATCTTCTGTTGCCTCCAATATTAGCCGGTTGAAAACCCGTGCTCCTTTCGCGTCCGCTCTCCGCCCGAACTTGACCGGTGGTACGTTGGGCCGCACGGCCGGAGGTTATACAATTGGCGCCGGCCGCATTGGCGGTGCACGATATTTCTCACATGGCCCGGCTGCACCGGCTCAGGTCATCAACAATGTGTCAATGGGTGTGCGTGCGTTCTTCCTCTCAGGGCAGAAGGCTCGATTTGATGGGGTCGATCCTATCACCGGGAACAAGCGGTACAAGGCCGTCAGCAAGCTTCAGGATGAAGCTGAGCGCAAGATGACTGGCATTCCTCGCACGGCCCCTGGGTCCTTCATCGACTTCCAGATATCTCCTACCATCACTGCCTTCGGCCTGCAGAAGAATTTGGCTGCCACCAGCACTTGCGATGATCAGACGCTGAACTCGGAGGGCCTCCTGGATTTGCTGTCTGTCGACTTTGCCCGGACCCTCAAGGATCTGGCTGTCGTCCTGAATGATCTCAAGTGTTTGAAATCTCTAGGCGACTTGCCCGTCATACTCCACGACCGGTCTACGATTAGAGTACGGTTTCCGGGTTGCGATGCTGAAACTGTTGAGAGGCTTTGTGACGAAGCAGGTATTCAACGAGGCAAAATCATGCAAGATGAGGATTTCAACACTCGTACGGGTGCTGATCTTGCTCTCCTGTTCCCATTTGCTCCAAGCGTCCCAGCGTCTCCGCAGGTCGATGAATACTTCTACAAACCTCAGTCCATGAAGTCCCAGGCTCCTGAAGAAGTTGATTGGCATGCCATGATGTCTCCCGAGCAAATCAGCGACGCGTCGTCTAGTGTGCACAAACAGTCCTCTAACCAGATAAGCTTTGAGGATGTAACCATATTTGCCAAAAATCCCTGGGCGTCGCCCTTGTCGGGATATTCCAGCATTAACGTCAGCGAGCTCGGAGACCACGCCTACTTCCCCGAGGCCCTGAGCAGTGGGATTCCCGGTACCGCCTCCGAATACGAAGGCTCGGACGGAATTCGCAAGTTCATTGCTGAGTGCGATACGGCTGCGCGATACTGAAGCACATGCCAAACTGTACAGCTTTACACAGTCATTTCTCGTTTCCTTGCGTGTTTTCCTTGCGTTCTTTTTTAAGCAAGTACTTAGGTGAATCACGAGTATGCTTGGGCAATTCGGAAATACCAGCCATCTACCTGATGCGCTCATATCTAACATATATACCACTATTGTCATTTCGAGATCAATTAACTCTTGAATGTTTCCAAATTTCATCTCCTTTAATGCACTTTAATGCACTTCACCTCCCATGTATTGTTAGTGATGCTTCGCATGACTCTTTAAGCCAGGTATTTGTGTCGCGAGGCTACATCGATCAATAGTTTGAGCCGGCGGCGACGACCTTTTGGAGAGGACTCCGTCCCTTGTCACAGGCATACCCGTGCTGCTTTTGTCAATATTAAGTCTCTGCTTTGATTTGTAGCCAAAAGTCCCCGCGCTTCGGGACACTGCCATGCGGATCGGCGATTCCCAATATAGCTATGTCAACCTGCAATTCTCCGATAAGCTGCTTCTATTACTCGAGATGTATATAACATCGCTTGGTAGATCGGAATCTCATGTTGTAAGCTAGCAACTAATACTGTGACAACCACTGAAGCAATTATATAACCAGACAGCCTACTACATGATCGGTTCTTCAGCCAGTATCAACACATTCTGGTACATGTAAAGACATAAAGAGTCACCTGGTGAGGAGCAGGATGTTTGAGAGCGATGGACAGAGCAGCAAGGCGGTCAGTTAGCGTCTGTCAAAAAGCCCACCGCCAACCCCGCGCTAAGCTGGAAGGAGGGCGATCCGATCCACTGATAACAGTCCATCCACATGGAGATTCACACACTGCAACTATCCTGACCTGGAAGCTCATTCATTCACTTTACTACTTCCCGCATTCCGCCGTCTCTCCTGAAACGCTCCCGAATATTACATGACTCGATAGGAAAAGACACACTTGGTACTGTTCTGGGGACTCTCCTGTGCTGGAGGTGTTCGACCGGGTCTCAAGCAATTGCTACGGGTCTGAGCAAAGAAATCACATAAAATCTTCCGATCGTACCCCTCTCGATTTGCCGTCACACAGACACGATGGAGGACTTCAACAGTGAGACTGACAGCGACTACACCAGCTACTGGAGAGATTGGGTAAGGCGCCCCTCCCCCCACCACACCTGCCCCCCTCTCGTCGACGTGAGCGAAGTGGACGGCGGCTCGATGCTGGTGAATGAGTGCGACTTGACAGTTACACCTGGGGACGTCATCATGACCGGAATTGCGAATGAAGTTGCGACGGCACCTTCTTGAAAGTTGCTGAGGGGCCGCTTTTCTCAGTCAATTCTGTCTTCGCTGTCCCCGGGAAGGCCTCCAGATACCTCGGATATATCGATCTCAACCCGAGATCTTGTCTTATTGCCTCTCTGCTCCTGCATCGAACCCTGTCCATTCGTTTTTCAAAGCCCAAACCCTTCGGCGCCAACAACATCTTGATTGCTGAGAGCCCGTAACTGACTACCTCTGGAAAGTTTATCTCCTCTCGTGGCAATGAATACTTTTGCGAAATCGACGAGGATTACCTCACGGATCGCTTTAACTTGACCGGCCTGAACACCGAAGTCGCATACTACCAGTACGCCTTGGACCTAGTGACGGATGTCTTCGATCTCGACGCAGACGACGACCTTCGCGAGCAGATTGAGAAGTCAGCACGCCACCTTTACGGCCTGGTCCATGCGAGATACATTGTCACCACTCGCGGGCTTGCAAAGATGGTAAGACGCTGAAGTTGCGAAGCCACCGCCGTCTCTAATCACTGGAAAATAGGTCGATAAACTCAAGCGCGGCGATTTCGGCAAATGTCCCCGAGTAATGTGCGAGGGCCACCCCCTCTTGCCGATGGGCCAGCACGACACGCCCAATATCAGCACGGTCCGTCTTTACTGCGCCAAGTGCGAGGACGTCTATCACCCGAAGTCGTCTCGCCACGCCTCCATCGACGGAGCCTACTTCGGCACCTCTTTCCACAGCATGCTTTTCCAGGTGTATCCTGCGCTGATGCCGGAGAAGAGCATTCGTCGCTACGAGCCGCGCGTGTTCGGATTCAAGGTGCACGCCAGCGCTGCCTTGGCTCGCTGGCAGGATCAGTATCGCGAAGACATGAAGACGACTCTTCGCGATGTTGGAGTAGAGGTCAAATACATAGAAGACGACAGCGAAGATGATCTGGAAGACGACGATGATGAGGCGATCTCGGACACCAAAGAAGAGGAGAAGGTTATCGGTGACGCTGCTTCGGGCCGCATGGATCTCGGCAATTAAAGCATAGCAGCGCCTCTTCTCTCTCTTCGTCTCTTCTTCCCGTCTGGTTTGCACAGTTTTTCCCGCCCTTGAGAATGGAGTTATTTTCTTCCATTATCATATATTTCAATTGCATTACATCCTTTCTTCGCAACCACCCACATGCATCTCAAGGGTTGGTCCCTTTTCCTCTTTCTCCCCCCATTCCCTTCCCCTCTTATATCGTCCCTTGCTTTAATGTCTTTTGAAAAATCGCAGGAGTGTGACGGAGGGGGTGGGTTCCACAACAAATTATATCTCATCTGCTTTGCATTTATGATTATGAAATCACACTGGTGGCGTTGGAAGTCTTCCGGAGATGGCGGGTCTGTTTCTTATCTTCTTCTGATGTGAACTAGTTTCTCTTTCCCGGCCGACAGGCTTTCAGGATATACATTTCGATCTGGCTTGGTTGAATCTCACCTGGCTTCTTCTTGTCCGTCCGCCTCTTGGCGAAAGACTCTATAAAGGACTGCATTGTTCTCCAACGGGGTTCATTCATCTTGTGTAAATGTACGGTCCGGAGCGAACGCCAACGTGTAAAAACAAAAGCAGGCCGTCAATGCATTTTCACGTGAGTCTATAAGTCGTGTATGAAGCTCCGTATATACAGTACAAAAAACCATTCTCAAACCCTCTTTCACTCCTGCAACTCCAGCAGCTTGTCCAGCGTGAAGGCAATGGCCCGCGCCAGCTCGATCCCCTTGTCCCAGCAGTCGTCATGCGCCCCCTTGATGGGAAGCAGTTCGACCTTCCTCCTGGTGCTGGTGCTGCTGCTGCTGCCGCCGCCTTGAGACGAAGAAGACGCCGCCGCCTCAACCCAAGGCTTCAAAGCCTCGCTCATTACCTCGTGCTGGCGCGCATTGACCAGCTCATCGTCCGGCGAATGCGCCAGCACCGCCAACCGGCCGGCCGTCCACCCGCCCACCACACCATTCCGCGCATCCCTCACCGCCGCCGGCGACACGGCATCCCACAGCGCCTCCTCTTCCCCAAACGCCCCCTCAATGATCTGCTGGTACGCCGCGATCTGCACATGATCATCCCGCAACACCCGCAGATCATAGATGCCCGCCGTCCCCAAGATCGCCTGGGGCCCCATCGCCACCGACCCGCCGCCGAGCCCGAGCCTGAGCCCGAGCCCTCCACTCCCGCTAACGACACCATCCCCACCATCACCATGCCCATCACCATGCCCATGCCCATCAACCAGCCCATTATTGGAAGTGGTGGTCTGGTTACCGCGGAACGAGCCCATAACCGACTGAAAGGCCAGCGTGGCGCCACAGCTGTGCCCGACGAGGATGTAGCGGTCCCCGAAGCCGTACTTGCGCTGCAGGAAGGCCAGCGCGGCCTGCACGTCGGCAATGTGGTCTGGGTGGCGCGCGGCGCGGTATTCCGTGGGGGTGGTGCTGTTGCGGTCCTGCGGGTGGTCCGGGTGAGGGCTCAGGCGGTAGTTGATGGAGGCGAAGCCGGCGAGGTGGGCGTGCGTCGTCGAGGCGTAGGGCTCCGAGGCCGCGAGGATGGAGACCGCCGGCGTCAGGTAGTTCAGGGCCGTTTGCGTGGGGTCGCGCCAGGCGCCGCCGTGGATGCAGCTGGTTCACATTATTGTGAGTGAGTGAATGAGTGAGGGTGTTTGGATGTTGGGTTCTTTGCGGTGGGTAGGGTGGAAGGAATGGGAAGGTGTGTATATTGAGGTAGGTTGGTTGGGGGGGGGCAGGGGATGGGGGTGGGGGGGGGGGGGTAGGGTGGAAGGAATGGGAAGGTGTGTATATTGAGGTAGGTTGGTTGGGGGGGGGCATGGAAGGGGGGAACATACATCACCCAGTAGCCTTTGTCGGGGAGAGCCGATAAGGTGGTCACTGTCACGGTTTGGAGGACATGATTGGTCCCGTAGGAAAAGGTTTCAGGGATCATTGGATCAATGACTGGGGGTATAGCGGTGATAGACATTGAAAGGAAGGGGTTTAGGATGAGATGATTGGGAGAGGACCGGAGTAAGAAAAGAGAAATTGGGTTATCAATTCACAGGAGTCATGATGATGGAATGGAAGAAGCCCGGTGCTGCTGTTGAGTTTCTGGTTAGCGTGGCGTCCGGTTTGTCTGTGGAGCAATGGCCGCGCTTATCGCGAACTCAACATGATACTTTCACGAAAACATTCTGTTGATGCCTTATAGTCCTGAATCAGTGGATGTCAGGCCAGTAGGTAATGAAGACCTTCGACCATCCAAGATTGAGTGAAGAGACAGAGAGAGACTCATGTGGTCACTCCACCTGCACGCCGCAAAAGATATTGCCCGTTTGGGCAGCGGCGCTGACTGCTCCTATAGCGCTTGGCACACTAATCCTAATTAGGGGTTAGGCGGTGGGAGCAAATGCTGAATTCCATCCACACAAACCATCGCCGCCGTTCAACCCATCGTCGCCGTCTATACACGTATACTCTGGGCTGCTGCATTCAAAATGGCGGAGTAAGTGCTCTTGCAATTTCTCGAGTCTTGACCCAAGGATGAAACTAATGTTAAACCCTACAGGAAAGAAGTTCCTCTCACGGCCGTCAAGGTCGAGGCCTTGGTATGCACCACCACCACCCTGAAAATCTTCCTCACCACCCTCCCCCCCCGCTTTAGAAAGCCCGGTCGGTCATGATGCTGACGGTTCTCGCCATTAGGTGGTGATGAAAATCATCAAGCACGGCTCGCAATCTTTCCCCACGACTGCGACCGGTTCGATTGTTGGTATGGATGTCAACGGCACCCTGGAGATCACCAACTCGTTCCCTTTCCCCGTCGTTGAGATGCCCGCCGAGTCGCACTTCGACAACGCCGCCCCCAACCCGGCCGCCGCTGCTCCCCGTGCGAAGGCCAACGCCGTCTACCAGGCCGAGATGGTCCGGATGCTTCGCGAGGTCAACGTTGACGCCCAGAACGTCGGATGGTACACCAGCGCCAACATGGGCAACTTTGTCAACATGAACGTGATCGAAAACCAGTTCTTTTACCAGAAGGAGATGAACGAGCGTACAGTCGCCTTGGTGCACGATGTCAGCCGTAGCGCCCAGGGAAGCCTGAGCCTGCGTGCCTTCCGCCTGTCTCCCAAGTTCATGACTGCTTTCAAGGAGAACAAGTTCACCTCCGAGGAGTAAGTTCTAGCTGATGTCTCGGAAGTTTAAGCTGCGTCGCTAAAATCCACCAGGCTCCAAAAGTCCAACCTCAGATACCAGGACATCTTCGTCGAACTTCCCGTTGAGATCCACAACTCCCACCTGATCACCTCTTTCGTCCACCAGCTTCAGTCCCCCATCCAGTCCGCCCCCACGGATCTCCCCGCCTCTTTGTCTGCTCTGGAGTCTGGACCCTTCGCCAAGTCCTCCGTGCTGGCCCCCAACTTCGACAACCTCTCCCTCAGCATCGATCCTTTCTTGGAGAAGAACTGCGACCTTCTGCTCGACAGCATCGAGGTCCACCACACCGAGACCAACAACTTCCAGTACTACCAGCGCTCGCTTGCCCGTGAGCAGGCCAAGATCACTGCCTGGCAAAACAAGCGCAAGACCGAGAACGCCAACCGTGCGACTCTCAAGCAGCCCCTCCTCCCCGAGGACGAGTGGCAGCGGCTGTTCAAGCTCCCTCAGGAGCCCAGCCGTCTGGACAGCATGCTGAACAGCCGCCAGGTCGAGCAGTACGCCCGCCAGGTGGACAGCTTCGTTGCCTCCACGACGGGCAAGATGTTTGCTGTCAAGGGTAACCTTCTGCCGGGAGAGACCGCCAAATAGAGTGGAGGACTTCTAGGGGAAGCGCGAAGAAGACGAAGATGAGGAAGAAGGGCCAAACTGATATGATTTGTCTCACACTGTGAGGATTCTGGAAATCGCATGCATGACCTTACGGCGTAGGGAGGGAAAATTCTGTATCTGACTGTTAATATGTCTCCTGGTTGTTTCTTAATTCCAGTGACGAATAGAGTTACGGGATATGACTTTTGGGGGAGAATTCGCTTTCAATCTATATAGGTTTTTTGTTTGTTGTTTACCGATGTTTCCCCATCCCCTCCCCCCCTGTTTCGCCTTTGGTGAGAGCGTCTCTGCATGTTTCCCCAGGTTGACTGCTTCGGGAATGGCGCTGCCCTAATTGCTGTATTAGGGTACAATGTGTCCACGTGACGTGGCATGGATGACCTCATCGTTTGATACCTTTGCTGCCGATAACGATTAGATAAGGATTGATACAATCATTACAATGACGATTGCCATTCCAGTGATTCTCAATGCTCACGAGTAGATTATCTTGGATACATGCAAGATAGATTCAATTCATGCATACACAATGCCCAACACCAACTCCGACATCTGGCTCGTATGTCAACTCCAGCAGCGCAGCAGCAATTGCCCTCCCAAACCGCCTGCCTCATCCTACCTGCGCGTACCATCATCGCACCCCATGAGTATCCCATAGCCTATAACTACAGTACTAACCATGAGGAAAAAAAACAACAGTCCGGCGCCTTCGCCGTCGTCATGACCGATTTCATGGTCTACCCCTTCGACACCCTCAAGACGCGCCTGCAATCCCCCGACTACGCCACCGTCTACAAGGACGCGACGACCGGCCAGATCAGGCGTGGCATGCTGTTCAAGGGCCTCTACCAGGGCGTCGGCAGCGTCGTCCTCGCCACGATTCCAGCCTGTAGGTCTGCCCTTGTCTGTCCTGTCCCCTCAATAGAAGCCCCGGGCCAACCCTTCTCGTTGTTCTCGCATCCCTAAACTAAGAGAATCCCCCGCCCCCAAAAGCAGGAGCATTCTTCACCACCTACGAAGCAAGCAAACAAGCCCTCACGCACCTCTTCACCAACCAGACCCAATCCCAGACACAAAAGACCACCCTCCCAACACCCCTCCTCCACTCCCTCGCCTCCTGCACCGCCGAAGCAGTCTCCTGCTTCATCCTCACGCCCGCGGAGGTGCTGAAGCAGAACGCCCAGATCGTCACCAGCACCAGCACCAGCACCAGCACCAGCACCCCAAAGCCCAAAAACATAACCCTCACCATCCTCCACCGCTTCCGGCACCGACCCTGGAAACTCTGGAGCGGATACACGGCACTCCTCGGCCGCAACCTCCCGTTCACGGGGATCCAGTTCCCGATCTTCGAGTTCGTCAAGGGCAAAGTGGTGGCTTACCGGGAGGGGAATCACCGGGAACACGACGTGAACGGTGGAATCGTCGAACGGGTCTGCGTGACGGGCATCGCGGGGAGTGTGGCGGGTACGGTGTCCTCGGTGGTGACGACGCCGATTGATGTGGTCAAGACGCGGATGATGTTGGCCGCTACGGAGACGGCGGAACCAAAGAAGAGGGCCGGGGCGTGGGCGGTGGGGAGGGAGGTTTATGGGAAGGAAGGGGTGAAGGGGTTGTTTCGGGGCGGGGCGTTGCGGGCGTTCTGGACGGCGATCTCGTTTGGGATTTATTTGAGCATGTATGAGGGGGGCAAGGTTTATTTGGGGAATAGGCGGGGGGAGCGAGAGAGGGAGAAGCAAAAGGCAAGAGATGAGGAGGAAGGGGCGCCGTTGTAGACTTTCCTGGGCTAGATGCTCGGGTTGGATTTGGGGTTATGCAAGAATAGATAGAGCCTAATGTAATACTCCAATTGCTACGGAGTACCAGGTGCAAGAATATGTGGAAAACGTGCCTTGAGTATGTCAATCATTGGCAAGCAAAAAAATGAAATCATTCTCATGGTAGTCGTACATCATATAATCCAAGCGCATCATCTAAATCATTTTCTTTCACTTCGGATACAAAGTCACATGGCAAAGACATATAATCATTCATCAAACATCCAGGATATCTTCCAGGTTCGGCCTCATTGCACTGTCGTTTCATCGTTGAATTCATAAAAGAGCCCCAACTCGCAGATTGTAATAGTGCGACAAGCCCGTTGGAACTGCATGCGTCACCTCATCACCCCAGATTGGTCAATTTGCGGAACCAATTGGGCATTCTCCCATTGCTGACCGGGGGCGGCGCGTAGCGGTCTTCATAGCGGCCTTCATACGGCGACCGCATCCCCCGCGCACGCTCGTAGTCTCCACTCCCGGAACTCCGCTCGGAGCGTCGCACCTCGCGTTTCCGGGAACGGAGCTCGTCGATCTCCTGGTCCGTCAGCCCGGGGTATCTGGCTCGCCGACGAGCCCGGCGGCGCAGTTCACGGCGCGCCTCTTCGTCCGACGAGATCGAGCCGCCGTTTGCGGCCCCTTCGGGTCCTCCGGGCATATCTAGCACCGTAGTCATCACGGGTGGGGGTTCCGGCGGATCGTCCGCCTGTGAGTCGATCCAGGACGAAGTCTTATCCTTGCGGCCTCCGGACATGATTGGCCGGAAGCTCTCCGCATCGAGAGGAGGCGCCCTGGACTTCCGACGCCTGAACCGCTCGCCGTCGGCAGATCGCTCCGGGTGGTGGTGATAGTGGTGAGGTGGGGAAGGGGCAGCCTGATCGGCATTCATCATGCCATCGAAGTAGAACTCTCGGGCAGCTCGATCGTCGACGGGCATGGACCGGCGCTTGGATCTGCCAGACTCCTGGGTGGGGTCATACATTTCTGCCTCTCGCTGCCTCCTGCGCTCGCGGCGCTGCGCAGCCCTAGCTTCGGCGGCCTCACGGGCCTCTTCCTCTTCTCTGGCACGCCGCTCCCGCTCCTCACGGGCAGCCCGGCGAGCTCTTCGCTCCTCCCGTCGTCGTTCGGCCTCCCTTTCCTCCTCCTCACGCAGCTGCCGCTCCTGCATCTCGCGTTCCCGTGCCATTTCTCTTTCTTTGCGCCGAGCGCGCCTCTCTTCGGCCTCCCGCCATTCGCTCTCGCGGAGCTGATCAGATGCGGCTTGCCGCGCAGCTCGTCGGGCTCGGCGTGCCGCCCTCCTTGCTTCCGCTTCTTCTGCATCCGTTTCGGGGAATGCCTCTACCGGCGGAGCATCGGTGAGGAACCCCTCACCGTCCCTATCCGGCATATCATGTCGTCTCCGTCTGCTCTCGTGTCTCATGCGACGAGACTCGCCGCGCTCTGGTTCGGTCATATACCTGGCATCTTCATCCCCGTAAGAGCGAGACTTGTGACGCTCTGGCATCTCGGGGCGGGCCGTTCTCCGTAAAGATCCGATAAGCCCCTTGAGACCACCCGGACCGGGCTCTGGCTTTCTTGGAGCCGTGTTTGACCGTCTGAGACGTCGTTCCCGCGGAGGTTCCACAAATGCAATATCATCCGGCCCAGATACGACTTCTGGACCCTCTTGCTGTAGCTCGTCGAGCATGGCCCTGTCATCCAACTCGTCATGTCGAGACCGCGACTGCGTAGGGCCGAATCAGTTAGCCGAAGCCCGTGGCCCACCAATTCTAGGACTCCTACCTTGTGTCGAGACCGTCTGTCGGAATGCCGCGATCCTCTTGAACCACCCTCTCGGGGTGCAGAAGCATCGAGATCATCTCTGTCCACCATGACGATATCATCCTCGTCAATCGCATACGGATCAGGCACAGCTGCAGGGCCATGAGATTAGTAAATCAGCACGGCGAAGCCATTGGGAGGCATAAATACCTGATCGCCTGCGAGATGCATGAGGTGTCTCTCGTCTCGAAGAACCGTTCGTACCCATCGTTCTGGCAGCTTTATCCGGCATGTCTCGGTGGTTGTCTGGTGGCGGCGTGGGCAATTTAGTATCCTTCACATCATCGCTCATCTCTACGGAGGGGCGTCTTGATATCGGCCTTGGAGCTTGGGCTCTAGACTTCTTCGTGGACTTCTTCCGAGACGGAGGGGGCATCCCCAGGATAAAGTGGGAGAATGTCATACCTCGGCTATGTCGGGCTTCTCTGCGTCGAGCCCGGTCAGAAGTAGATGACTTTTCGACCTCATTCTCACCTTCCCGGGATTTAGGGTGTTTGGTTGACCTCGTCCGCACCATCAGTGGCGGGGAATGCTCTCCCCGATGCCTAGACTCTTTCTGGCGCGTTTTCTTAGAAGGGGCGCCAGCCCAGAATCCCCACGAAGCAGGACCGGGGGTGCGCTCCACACGGGTGCGCTCCTTTCTGGGCATCTTGTCAGGTTGGCTTTCGATAGGCTCCGGAGGGGGCGTTGGAGGTCCACCGTGACCTACATCAACCGGCGGACGATCTGCCGGAAGTACAGCCTGTTCTAGGCTGGATACCTTCTTGCTCTTCTTCTTTGGCTTCTCAAATTCTGGAGCAGGCGCCTCATCGAGCTCCGGTATAATGTCGCGTTCTTGTTGAATATCAGCCACTGGTTCGGGCTCTTCCAGAACGGGGACAGGGGCGTCTTCCACGACTGGAGCAAGGACAGGCTCCGGCTCTAGCTCAATGACCTTCTTCTTCTTTTTCTTCTTCTCAGTTTTGGAAACGGGCACCGGAAGAGGCTCAGGCTCGGGTTCAGGCTCTATTACGGGCTCTGGCTCCGGTACTGAGGCTGGGGCGGGTTCAGGTTCAGGTTCAGGCTCCGCGACTGGCTCCGGAATGGGCTCAGGAACGGGCTCAGGAACAAGAACAGGCTCAGGCTCTACTTCGATCACCTTTGCCTTCTTCTTCTCTTTCTTCTTGGCCTTCTTTGACAACACCACTGGCTCTGGTACTGGTTCCGGTTCCAGCTGTACAGGTTCAGGAATAGGCTCTGGTGCAGGTTCAGGCTCAGGTTCAGGCTCAAGCCCCTGAACGGGGGGTTCCGGAACAGGGGGTGGGGGAATATCGTCGTACTCGTCGTCAAACGCGTCGGGAA